TACATCTGCCGTAGGGCAGGGCATCGTGGGACACGGCGGGAGAACGTTTGTCTGATATGGCACTAATAAAGCGAAATAATCCCATTATCCCAGAACAAGGCAGCACGTACACTTAATTCTTTCCTCAATCAGCCCAAGACAGAAAACATGATGACGGTTAGAAATTTGGGATCTGACAGGCTGTACAAGTTAGGCTATTTACCACCATTGTCCTTTAAAGACGAATCAAAAATAACGGAGCAAAATTCAAAAAAAAAAAATAAAAATTCATTTTGAACTACGCCTTTGTCATTTCTTAATTTCCTTTAGGTTTTTTTATGAAGCCTCATTACATACAGTTTGTTTAACATGGCTAATGCAACCTTGAGCCCGTTTTAATCTATAAAGGTACCTAGTCCGAAAACGGAATTCCACCTTACCACAATGATTTCGCAGCGTGTCTCGAGTGAGTTTCAAAAATGCTTTTGGTACTTTTTACTTTCACTTGCATGCAGACTGCGCTATGAGCTTACCACAATGATTTCGCAGCGTGTCTCGAGTGAGTTTCAAAAATGCTTTAGGCAATTTTTACTTTCACTCGCATGCAGACTGCTCTATGTACTTCGTTCATGTCAAAAAAACAGTCAATATATTTTCCTTCGTTTAATTTATTACCAAGAAATTTGAGTAAAAACAACATTCTGCATAATTTAATTTTAATTGTTTGCTTTTGAAATTAATTTTGTTTTTAATCTTACCATTTAATTTGCATTTGTTTGGAGCTCTATTTATAAGACAAGTTTTATCCAGTGTGGAGGTGATGGAAAACGTGAACCTTTCCCAGCGCATCATAATATCAATCGTCACACCTAAATAATATTCTTCAAAATATCAACTCCTTGTTTGCAAAAAGTATAAAGGCAAAGTAAGAAATGTTACGCTCTCAAACTAACTCTGTATTATTGCATTTTAATTTTTTATGGATATAAGTGCATTATTTAAGCGAATTTCAAAGTATGTACAAGACAAAAGCCAAACGTAGAACTGCAAGTTCACTGTTATCCTTTTTGCATAGTGTCGCTTCTCGAATTTGGTGAGAAATATTTTTGAATTTTTCATATAGGCGGGGCTAGAATCCTTTCCTCTGTTTTGCCCAGAAGAAATGCTTCGGCACTTGCAAATTTGCAATCCATCATTAGCAAAGAACTCGAGGGTGTCAAGGCTGCTGGAACCTGGAAGACAGAGCGAGTTATCACTAGCAAGCAGGCTGCCGATGTAACTGTCGCAACTGATGACGTGTTCAGCATGGACGGCATCATTGCCAAGCTTCCGTATGTTTGACTTAAAATAAGCTGTGCATTCACCTTGATCATTTAAACTAACCATTTACTCACCAATTTTACTTTTCAGGAAAATCTGCGAACTTGCAGATCGCTATGGTGCAGTAACGTTCATGGATGAATATCACGCTACTGGTTTCTTCGGGAAGACCGGCAAGTATGGGCTTAATTTTTACCAAAAAAATCCCCGAATTTTGATGCTTTCCCGAATTCGAAGCTTTGTTATCTCCTTTGCAGAGGCACAGAAGAGTATTATGGCATGCAGGGAAATGTTCACACCTCCACACTGGATAAAACTTGTCTTATAATTAGAGCTCCAAACAATTGCAAATTAACTGATAAGGCTAAAAACAAAGTTTCGTTCAAACACAACTATTTAAAATTTATATAAAATGCAGCATGTTATTTTTACTCAAAATATAAATATGCCAAATTTCTTGGTAATAAATTAAACGAACGAAAAGATATTGACTGCTTTTTCACATGAACAAAGCTCATAGCGCAGTCTGCATGCAAGTGAAAGTAAAAAGTACCAAAAGCATTTTTGAAACACACTCGAGACACGCTGCGAAATCATTGTGGTAAGGTGGAATTCCGTTTTCGGTCTAGGTACCTTTATAGATTAAAACGGGCTCAAGGTTGCATTAGCCATGTTAAACAAACTGTATGTAATGAGGCTTCATAAAAAAACCTAAAGGAAATTAAGAAATGACAAAGGCGTAGTTCAAAATGAATTTTTATTTTTTT